ATCAATATTGTTCTTGAAAGGTTTGGGTAGAGCAATAAGATCAGGCAGATACAAACAGGAAAGGATGAAGTCAAAGTACCCAAAAATACTCCAACCAAAATCTCCTAAAGCTGATGAACATATTTAGTAAAGTAGCAGGATATAAGTTGACATTTAAAAACCAGTATTCTTCCTGTGTATCAACATCTAACATCCCAAGAGAGGTATCAGGGAAGCAATTCCGTTCATAGTAACCTCAAAAATGAACGTAATAGTAGTATCTATGGAGAGTCTGTCATCAGCCTGTCAATTTCCAGCTACTGGGAGGAGGTGCAGATAGGAAGAAAGCTTTGCATATTTTTCAACAGTTGCCTGTGATTCTGAGCCACTGTGACTCTAAGTTAGGAAAGAAAAATCAGAGAATGTTAAATCATCTGTAAATCCACATTTTCGTGCATATGTACAAGAACACAACTTCTCTGAATCATAGTAACTTTCTAAAGGTAAGTTTAAAATTTCCATGGTTACAGTCTTCTAATGCTATGCAGGGCTGAGAATGGGGGAGGGGCACAAAGATGATTAAGGTATTTGCAAACATTTTCTATGAAATGCAAAAAGATTCAATAAAAACATACATTGAAAAAATAGGGTTCAAGCAGTCTTTATCTTTAATAAATTCCATATTCAAAATTTTGAATAGTTGGAAAAAAGATAGTTTAGTTTGTAATTGAAAGTCCCCAGAAACTATCCATTTTTAGATGTTCGTGGAAACACAAGGCCTGGAGAAAATATGCGTCATGCCCTAGGCACAGTCCAGCTGAGGTCAACCACACTCCTTGTTTCAACTCTCACCAGCCCTTTCCACTGGAAAATGAGTTCCATAGTTTCCAAACTTTGTTGCTGTTTTTTGTTGATTTTTTTCCAGTGGCTCCCAGGAATCTTGCTATTGTACTCCATGGTACTGATCTGTAAAAGACTGTCTTGTGTGATACACAGGAAGTGAGTGACTTACAGAAGTATCTTTCAGAGAAATCATGTTGGTTGCACGTTCAGTGTCAGTGCATCAGCAATTTGCAGCAACTTCGGGAAATAAAACATCATTGATCTGTGGCTGAGGCTCTTCTAACAAACTCTTAGAGCATTACCCCCATTGTTTGATGCAACTTTGAAATACTGGATTTCTGAGATCAGGAAAAATGAATAAAGTACAGTAAATGTTCCTGTGGAGAGCTGAAAGCCCAAAGGATCCACTGTCCTGATACCCGGGGTCAGGGTGGAGGTCAGCCTTGTTTGGTTACAGGGAAACAGGATGGGCAGAGTGAACTTGCCGCTTAGGAATGTCCTGTAGACCAGGAATCTGTGGGCTAAATTATTTATTTGTTATTTAAATACTATTTTTCATGCTTTGAAGATTTCAAACATTCCTATAGTATACACTGATTATGTCTCTCCATCACTACCTCCATCCAACTCTCCCTGGTGCCCACCCACACTGTTGCCCTCTCAATTTCATGTTCTCTTTTTCATTGTTATTAATATCCTGAGTCCAGTTTGTGGTGCCCATATGCACAGGGGTGTGTGGTCACCCACTACTCCATGAGCAACCTACCAGTGACCTCTTCCCAGAGAAAAGTGACTCCCCTTCCTCAGCGACCGTCATTGACCAATAACTCCTCTCATAGGAGTTGGGTCTGGGGGCTCTCATGCTGGAATCGTGACTGGCTTCATCTTCTGTTGACCTTGTGCAGGAAAGCACAGCTGCAGTCTGGTGATTCATGATGCAGCCATGTCACGCCCAGCAGTCATTTCACAGCTCTCTTCTCCATCTGCCTTCTCTTCCATTATTTCTCCCCTTCTACTGCAGTGTTGCCTGAGCCATGGATGGTGGGATGCTGATAGAGACGACCATACAACACTGAGCTCTCAGTGTTATGTATACATTGCTCCTTGACGAGTTGTGTACCGAACACTACCCACTTTGACAGCAGCACAATTCTATGCATGCACTTCGACAGCATTAATATTTTAGCAAAGCAGGGACAGTAAGTTCTCCCTTAGGGACTATGATCTCCCCAGTCATGGGATTTGATCTTTCTTTTCTTTCGGATTTATATTGAATATTTGCAATTTCGACACAATATAATTTTATGCATTTCTATCCCCTCTCCAATCCACACCTCCCTACATTTTCCCCCAACACTCAATTCAATGTACTCTCTCTGTATAATAAGGCCTATAGAGTCTAACTTGAATCTCCAAATGTTCTTCCAAATGGGTTCATCCACTGGAGCTTGCACAGAACCCGTTCATGCTGTCAACATTGCTGTGACCAGCTGTCTGGAGAACTCTGCCCCACCAGGGTCGTCCACCACCTCTGGCTCTTACATTCTTGCCACCTCCTCCTCTGTAGTGATTCCCAAGCCCTGAGCTCAAGATGCCTCACCAGAGGTGTCCCACTCAGAGATAAGCGCTTTGCAGCCCAAAATGACCGTGCATTAAACCCTTCTTGTGGAGATGGCCTCACATCCAATCATAAAGGGGTTAATTAGTTCATGTCACTATTACACCAGTGGGCAAATCTTGTTAGCTAAACCAGTATTGTAGCAGGCAGAGTCCAGCGCAGGATAAGGCCATTGATGTTCTCTTTCCCCAACAGCTATCGCCTCTGGCATTATGTAAGCTTGCCTGAAGGAAGAGAGTTTCCTGGTCAGTTCAAGTTTGATTTGTGTGTGTCCTCCACTCAAAGTAGTGTTTTCTCATCAATAGAGTCTAACCATGTTGCTATGGTGGGAATTCAAGAGCATCGGCTATAGTTGTGGTTTGGGGGTGCCTCTGGGGGCTCAGTGATCAGTAACACAGGCAGGTAACCTGTGCTCCATATTGAGATTTTCATTTAATTTCCCATCTCTTGTTGGGAGCAGCATTATCCACCCACACTGAGTACTTCTGTTCAAATGATTCTTGAATTTCATACAGTGCATTTTGATCATATTCAGAACCCCTCTCTACCCTCACCTTACTACCCTAACTTCATGTCTTCTACTACTTCTTAAGGTCTTTCAAGTCTAACCTGTGTTTCCCAAATGCTCTTGGGTGTGGCTCTATCCCTTGGAGCTTGGTCAACCTACCAGCCATCACACCAGTAGGAAAATGACTGTCCCTCTCTCAGCATTTATTATTTGCCAATAAATCCTCAGTACGGCTAGCCCACCCTGCTCACCTTACTCATCCAGACTGAGTCCCTATCTGACTTGTGATTCATGTTCTCATAAGTGCTGTGGGCTCATTTAATTAGCTTACAAAATAGTGAATTCTTATGAGGCTTTGTCATGGATGCATAGTTTTGGCTAGCCCTCACCCTGGTAGGTTCCTCATGCCACAGTGAATGCAATAACATTAAACACAGTACATAGACACACACATACACACACACACATTCAAACACATTAACATACACATATATACACATACTCACATACATACAAACCTACATACATACCCGACAGATATACACACGTATTCACACTCACATACACACACACACAAACACTCACACACTAACAGTAACACAATAAATAAATAAGTGAAGAAATTAAATTTTTAATTAACATATTTTAAAAGAATATCTTTATGTGCATATACATATATATATATATTAAGCAAAAACCTATGTTCTCTTTTTCTCCTATAACCTATGTTCTCTTTTTCTCCTATTATTTTAACATATCATAGGCATCAATGACATTGATATCACAACTTGAGTGCTATCAAATCTATATTATATTTAGTTTATGGAATATTAAAATTTTATGTATATCTCAAGTAACTGCTGTCGGCTCTGGAGGGATAACTAGTGGATTTTAGACTGTATATGTGGTAATTAAAGCACATTAGTAATAGTTTCACAACAAAGTTGTTGTATCACAAATTCACAGAAGCAGGGTTCCCTGCAAGATCCACTCGGGCCTCAGGCCTTCAACATTCCATCATGGATGGGGGGAGGTACTCATGAGGCCCCACTCATTCCAGAAGGGCTGTGGGCCTTTAATGGTTTCTGGGGAAGAGAAGACATATTTCTCATTCACACAGAGAACTCCTCCCCAGCTAGTCAGTTCACCCATAGAGCTCTCATTCAGGTCTGTGAAATGTCTACGAACATCTCCTATGCCATATGTTCATAAAATTGTGAAAGAATAATTTTTAATAATTGAAATAAGTGTAATCGTAGAGAGTGGTGACAGAGATAATGACACAGGAGGCACGCAGTCTCTTTAACACTCATTGGATGGCCCAGATCTTCTGCTTTCTTCAGAAAACACTAAAACAAAACAGAATCACAAGCGTTCAGAGCGATGCTACGCTGAGGGCTTCTGGGAACCTCACACACAGATCTGACTCTGCCCACCAGCTGCATCATGGAGAATCTGTGCCCAGCAGAGGAGCAGGGGCACAGACAGTGTGGGAAAGCCAACTTTCAGACCCATGTTCCTATGCAGAATCGTGACTGATTCTGACATACTTGTGTTTCTACATTTTAAGAAAGGAGATTCAAAAATTACAGAATTTCCAATTTTATAATGAATGGATAAACAGTGGGTGAGTTCTCGTAAGTGAATGGTTCCCTCTCCTTCTCCAGAGATCTTGTGGAAGGATGTCAGATCCTGATCCACACTGTCAATATCTCCTAGGGGAAGTGCAGGGACTGACCCAAGTTCAAGAGGCAGGAGCTTCCACAACTGCGCCTCCGAGCTGAAATATATTAAGATGGTGAGTCCTTAAGAAGGAGCAGAAGCATCCCCGTTACTGAGGTACAACATTGTCTCAGACCCTTTAACAGTCATCACCGTCTCTAGGGCTCAAATCTGCTCTGAACACTGTCTCCCCAGGGTTCCAAGCAGAGCTTGCTATAGAGCAAGGAGATATGCAAATAAGACCTCCCTGTGCTCATGAAAACCAGCCCAGCCCTGAACTGGCAGCTCAGCAGAGGAGCCCAGCCCTGCAATCCCCCGGGTTCCCATTCAGTGACCAGCACTGAACACAGACTCACCATGGAGCCGGGGCTCAGCTGGCTTTTCCTTGTTGTGCTTTTAAAAGGTAATTTACAAAGAAGAGGAGATGCTGATCCTGTGAGTGGACAGGATTGAGAGGGACAGTGAACATGTGTGATAGGTTCCTGACCAGGCTTCTCTCTGTTTGCAGGTGTCCAGTGTGAGGTTCAGCTGGTGGAGTCTGGAGGAGGCTTGGTACAGCCTGGGGGATTCCTGACCCTCTCCTGTGCAAGCTCTGGATTCACCTTCAGTAACTACTGGATGTACTGGTTCCGCCAGGCTCCAGGGAAGGGGTTGGAGTGGGTAGCCAGAATAAGTGGTGGTGGAATTCAAAACTACGCCAACTCCGTGAAAGGACGATTCACCATTTCCAGAGACAATTCCAAGAACACCGCATCCCTGCAAATGAGCAGTTTGAGGTCTGAGGACACAGCCACGTATTACTGTGCAAGACGCACAGATTGGTCACACAGTACTGGGACTTCAGTGTAAGCCCAGACACAAACCTCCCTGCGACAGCGCTCAAGGCCAGCAGGGGGCGCAGGAAACATGGATCGCAGAGTCACTCCTGAGCAGGTGACTGGGCATAAACACCTGGACTCTGGTTCAAGGACTGCCTATTTATCACAGAGCAGTTTTCTAATGGAACTGGTCTAGAAGTATGATATTACTGTCATTCGAAGTAACCAAGTGTCTTAAATTCTGTTATCTGCTGTGCTGTATATGTTTAAATACAGGATCCACTCTGACCTAACAGCATAGAGAGCATCACATGGGGAATAAGTGACTCTGTAGAGGTCCCAGGATCAAATTCGGAGGATGCTCAATGACCATGAAGACTGTCCTGGTTTTAAGGGAACGAGTTCAGGGTTACAGGTTACAGGAGTGTTTGGGGTTCAAGTTTGGGACAATCGGTAGAACTGAGAGACAGTGGAGAGTTTGCTGGGTTTTCCATCAGTGACACAGAACAGGTGATGAACTCCAGAGAGAAGCTCTGTGATTCATACCTAGGTGCACTGTGAAACCTGAAATCACAGCCATGGAAATTGCATTCCAGGGTAGCAGAGGATCAAAATTTTTATTAGAAATGAGAGTTTTAATTATACTGTTGGCAGTTTGTAGCTCCAGGCACACTGTCTGCAAACAATAATTTCTGGCATCGACCCAATTGTGCCATTCCTAAGCTCTATGCTATATGACAGAACAGAATTTCCAATTCATAAAGGATGGTTAAACACTGAGAGTTTATCCTCCAGGAATTTAATGGATTTCTCTCCACGTGTTCTCTCTCACAGATGGATGTTAGCCTTGTAATTTAAAAATAAATAAATAAATAAATAAAACTAAAGAAATAAAACAGCAACGTTTAATTTTTTTGTTTTCTTACTTTATTTTAGGCATATGAGTACTTTGCTTGCATGCACATAGTTCACCTGTATGCAGTGCCCGCAGAGGTCAGAAGAGGGCACTGAATCTGTTGTAAATGGAATTGTGGATGGTTGTTGGACACTATGCCTGCTGGGGCTGAAGCCATTGTGTTTTTGACTTCAGATTCATCTCTCAAGCCCCATAACAATAATTTTTATAAATATCTTGTTTGATAATTTCATGTGTTTTATCATATTCACAACCTTCTCTTACCAAAGCCATTGCACCTCCCTACAATGACTAAACCATGTCCCCCTTTTTAAATAATTTAAGAACCCACGGATGCCAAGTTGTGATGTCGATACATTTCTTGGTGTCTGGCCATCCATTGGAGCACAGTGGACATACCAGGAGACATACTCTGAAGAAAACATACTCTCCCTCCCCCAGAAGCCATCAATTCTCCATAGCTACTCAGCTCAATTCATCAATCCTTACCTATCCAGGTGGGAGGGAAACTCATGAACGCCATTGCACCCCATTATAGAATACTGACTGGTGTTCTAGTTACACTTCTGTTGCTCTCACCACCTTCACTGAGGGAAGCCAAGGCGGGAACTCCTGACAGGAAACTGAAAACAGGACCTGAAGCAGAGACCACAGAGGATGTTCACTGGCTTTATTCCCTGTGGCTTACTCAGCTACTTTTCTCATACAGCCCAGACCCACCTGCCCAGGGAAAGCACCACGGACAGTGGTCTAGGCCCTTCTTGCATCAACCAGCTGTCAGGAAAATGCCCCACAGACATGTCCACAGGAAAATCTGGTGGAGGCAATTCTTCAAATGAGGGACCCTCTTCACAGTGGTGTCTAGTCTGTCATGAAGACAGAAAGTACCAAGCCCAGCAGGCCTGCTCTCCTGCAGGTCTTATGCAAACAATCACAGCTGCAGGGAGTCCATGAGAGCAGCAGTCCTCTCACATCCAGATGGTGCTGACGGATCAGGTCCTTCCCAACATTTCGGTTTTGTGAATATTCTGTTCCCTCTTCCACAGTGGGTCCTTGATCTTCAGCGTGGAGGTGGGGTGTTACAAATGTCTCATTTGTGGATGACCATCCCACATTCATTTATTCTCAGTTTTTAACCTGTCGTGAGATTCTGCATTAACAACCATCCATTGCACAAAGAAACTCCGTGAGGAGGTCTGAGACTTACGAATTTAGAGAAGAGTTTAATATTATATCCATGTGGCAAAATAATGGTATTTGCTTCCAAAATATGGGTTCTTGTCCAATTTTACAGTACCAGGCAACGGTTTCCTACTGTGGAGTGGGCCTCACATCCAATAAGAAGATGAATGATTGTCTCCATAACATTTCTGCAACCATTACACCCATCAGTGTATCTCTCCATGCTGATCATTATAGCAGTTCACAAAGTTCACAACTGGCCTGGCCAAGACTGTTAATGATTTCTTTTCCTCCAGAAGCCCACCTATTTTTCCAGTATTGTGACAGTTGATCAGTACCAACTTCATTTTTTATGCCCTGTGACCAATGTAGTTTTATCCCCAGTAATAACATTTTACCGTCAAGTTCTGATGGGTACCCAAGAGCAATGGAAATAGCCTGTGTTTTCAGGGGGGTCTCTAGTTTATCTCTGCCCAGTCATTGGAGTAAGGTAACACTAACTTGGCACCGGGCTTATTGTTTGACAATCTGTGGCTTCTGGAATGAGCATAATGCCCTGTGTAGTGTGACTCCAATTAAACACATACATGATGAAAGTATTGCAGATATCAGGGATACAGGAACATATCATGTCAACATAATAAAGAATATAGAGTGATCCATAGACAACAATATACTAAAAAGATTAAATTACGAACATTTTCTCCGATATCAGAAACAAGACATGGATGTCCATTGTCTCCATTCCTGGTCAATATAGTGCTACAAACCACGGCTAGAATAAAAAGATAACTAAATCCAGATATAAACAGGGAAGAAAGAAGTTCAAGTACCAAAAATACTCCACCAGAAATCTCCTAAAGCTGATGAACATATTCAGTAATGTAGCAAGAAAAGTTAACATTTTGAAATCAGTACTTTTAATTTGTTTTATTGAATTTTTGTATATTTCGTATATAATATCTCAATAAATATTAATCATCTTTATTCCCCCATCCCCACCAGCACTGTCCCATACCCCTACCACTGGAACCCATATACTCAGTCATCCCTGTTAAGGGCCACTGTATCGTGTCTGTGTCCTCAGAAGTTCCCCAGTGGAAGTCCATTCACTGAGGTCTAGTCAGCCTAGATAATCTAAAGTCCCTTGTTTTAGGGAGATCAGATCTTCCTCACCTAGAAGTAATCAGTTGCCAATATTTCTTCAACTAAGATTGGGATCTGCTGTTCATCTCCCAAGTTCTATACTGGGTTTCTGTCTGCCTGAGTGTGCATGGGACTTGTGTATGCTGATAGATTCGTAGGAGCAGGGTCCCAGGACCTTGTAGGACTCTCTTTCCATATACTCATGCACCTCCTCCCTGGCTCTTACAGTCTTTCCATCCCCTCTTCTTCCCTGAGCCCTGGGGGAGTGAAGTTTAATATAGGAGTCCTGTCCAAAGACCAGCATTCTGCAGACTCTTTATGCTTTGGCTATTTGTGACCTTTTGTGTTCCTGGCCCTCTGTTGATGAGGAAACTTCATTAATGAGAACTGAGAGATTCATTAGGGTCTTCTTATACCTGTTCTATGGTACATGAACCATAGGTGTAGACATTGCAGTCTAGATGTGTCACTTGGGCCTGGGCAATTCATAGACAATGTCTGTTTGTGACCAATTTTTGTACTTGGTAATAGTTTCCGTCTGGTCAGAAGAAGTGTCTTGGATGAGGGTGACTGGGATATTTATCTGTAAATATAAGGATACATATTTTGCACATAGAAGTCACATTAGTATAGAGATGTGATAATATTTGGATTTTCTCTAAGATATATGACGACTCCAGCCATGTGTGTTTGGTTATGTTTACAGTACCACACTTGAATTCAGACACAGGATTTGGAGCACAGAGCTGAAACTAACCAGAAGCCACTTCCCCTGAAGGCGAGCTCTCAGAGCTTTGGAGAGCCCTATGAAGGTGCCAAGGGAAAGCATCACTCAATGGTCCAACCCCGGCTGCAAGACCAAATAACCACATCAATGTCGAGCACAGCATATGACATTGGTATAGTAGTGGCACTTTCATCTTGGGGGAAATCAAAAGCTACCTAATTGGACTAAAATCAGTATTCTTTCTGAATATCAATATCGAACATACCAAGAAACATATCAGGGAAAAAATTCTATTCACAATAACCTCAAAAAAGAAATAAAACTAATAGTATTTACAGAGAGTCTTGGTTATTAATCTGTCAGATTTTTAGCTATATGTAAGAGATACAGATAGCAAAAAAGATTTACATATTTTTCAACAGTTGCCTATAATTCCGACCCATGGTGACTGTAAGCTAAGAAAGAAAATTCAGAGAATGTTAAATCATCTGTAAATCAATGCTTTTGTGAAGATTTGAAAGCCACAAATTCAAGAGTATTGGCTCTAGCCTGTGGTTTGGGGTGGGAAGTGCCTCTGGTGGCTCAATGATCAATAACACATAGCCAGGTAACCTGTGCTCTGTATTGAGATTTTTCATTTAATTACCCACTTTTATTGGGAGCAGCATTGCCCTCCACCCATACTGAGCACTTCCATTTAAACTTCCATATATACATGCTAGAATTTCATACGATGTTGTGATCATATTCAGAAACCCTCTTCCTCTGTATGCCGACCTAGTGAAAGACCCAATTTCATGGTTTCTAACATTATTATTAAAGATTGTACAGTCTATTCTGTGTTTCCCAAATTCTCTCGGCTATGGCTGTATCCCTTGGACTATGTTCAGCCTACCACCCGTCGCACTGGTAAGGAAATGACTAACCCTTTCTAAGTTTCTGTCCATTGCCAGTAGATCCCAGGTAGGGCTGGGGCACTGCTCACCTCCCCATCCAGACTGGGCCCCTGTGTGCCTTCTGTTTCACAGGTCTTGTACACGCTGCCATAGGTACTGTGGTCATGTAATTAGTTAACAAAATACTAAATTTCTCTGAGGTTCTGTCCTGCTTCTTCACTTTTGTCTGCCTGCAGTTGACACCCTTTTCTCCCCATTCCCTAATCACACTTAAACCTCTAACCCAAATTATTTCTCCCTGTTCTTTCATGTCACTGAGTTTTCATATCCCCTCTAAATGAGTGTTTTCTTGGCTTGGAAGATCATGGGTTTCCATAGCGCCCCTCCATGCACACACCCCTCGGTTAACCCTTCTGCCACAGCCTCCTTTCCCGGGCTCCCCCTGTCCTCCAGGCTTGGACCTTTTGTGCCAGTGTTCCCCTGCACTGTTTTCATTTGCTTTCATTTCAGTATCCGCACTCAAGTGTTAAAGAGAAAAGGTTTCCACGCACAAGTGGATTTGAGTGCACAGAAGACTGGTTTGGTTTATAAGGACATTGCAAAGAGTTTCTCACAAAGATGCCTGGTCACTTGATAATCAATGGCTAGCAAAAATCAATGTTCCACTAAGAGCGTGAACTTAGTATTCCATAACTCGGTTCGTGAAGCAACGTCACAGAACAGAATTACTACAGATAATAATTGATTACACATGTTTAGTTCAGAATATCTTCTCAAATAGAAAGGGCTTTTTAAACTATACTTTTTAAAGTATGTGAAAATTCTTTGAATTTTTCACATACTTATCTAATGTATCATGAACATATCCACCCTCACTCCCTCAACTCTTTTCAGGACCCCCCATCACATCTGCCTACTAATGGAAGCTACTTTAAAATTCCAGCATGAAGTGGTGTGGGCCCCTCAGGTCTCTGTCCCTACCTTGGGAGATGTTGGAGTTGATGGAGCTGAAACTGTGAGTCAGTTTTCTTTGTGTGTAACCACCAGTAGATTCCTCATGCCACAGTGAATGCAATAGCAATAAACACAGTACACAGGCACACACATACACACACTCGTGTTCACACAGTCACACACACTCACCCATACATATATACACATACACTCACATACATAAAATCTTACACACCCCCATACATATACACATACACTCACACATTCAAACACACTCACACTCAAAGAACTGAAGGAAGATAGGGATAAACTTCTGAATGAATTCAGAAAAGAATATCTTTATGTTCATATATTAGGCAAACATCTGTGTTGGCTTTTTTCTGCATATCACACATATTAATTGAGTTAATATCACAACTTAAGTGCTATCAAATCTATATTACTATGGACAGCAACAGGGATGACAGAGTATATGGGCTCCAGTATGTAGAAGTGGGGGAGGCTATGGGAGGGTAGCATTTGGGAAGTGGGTATATAGATGAGTAAGATTGTGTGGGATGTTCTGTATGATATACACACAGACATATTTGAGGAAGAAGCATAAAAATTTACTTGATGTTAAATAGTAGAGGTGATAAACATTACCAGTGAAATCTACCTGATGACTTTATATCCATACTCAGGTACTAAGGATCTGAGTGTAACCAATTGTGACTAGTAATCATCAGATACACAGAGATTAAAGACACATGTGCAATCATCTAAGTGTTAGTAGCATTAAAATGTAGGAAACAACATATTTTAAAATGAAATGGAGATCTTCTTTAAAGGGTAAAAACTCATTCAATTTTATATCTTACAGTGTTAATACTGAGTTCAATATTGTATAACTGCATTAATTCAACTGTGAACCTAAAAATTTACAGCCACTTTTGAAAGTGCTCTGGAGTGTGCTCTGGAGTATGTTACTGAATATGTTAACACTGTAATGAAATGCTTCTTCTAATCATGTGGTTATTAAATTTTTTAATTAAAAAAAAATAATAATTCTTCAAAGCATAAAAATTTGCTCCTTAATAATCAGTAGATGCAAAAACATTACCTTTGAAAGCTACATGATGACTTTATATCCATGCTCAGATGCCAAGGAGCTCATAAATTAACCAACTGTGACTGGTAATAGTCAGATATATAGAGAATAGAAACATCTTTATATGTTTGCATATGCAAACATTTTAATGTCAATTGCATTAAAAATGAATTTTTCAGTATGAAACTGTGTATTTTAATAATGAAATGGAGATCTTTTTTAAAGGTTAAAACTATGCCTTATAGGGTTTATACAGAGTACAATAGTGTATAACTGTATTAATTTAACTGTAAACCTAAAAATTTATAGCCAATTTTGAAAGAGATGCACCTTAGCTCTGGAAATTGTTATTGAATATGTTAATGCTGTTGTAATGAAATGTTTCTTCTAATTATGTTGTTATTAAATAAATAATCAAAAAACAGTTTATGCATACTTCAAGTAACTGCTTTCTGCTCTGGGGCATTAACTAGTGAATTTTGGACTGTATAGGTGGTAAATAAAGCACATTAGTAATGGGTACAACCTTTAAATTTTCCATTGGAAAAGGAATAAGACATAAATAGACATGGTTGAATGTCAATTTGACAAGGGATATGTTTGTAATGTTGATTTTTTAATATTTTATTTAGTATTTTCATTTTATGAGTACAAGTGGATTGCCTTCATGTATGTAAGTGCACCCACGTCATGAAATATACATGGATGTCAGAAGAGAGCATTGGATTCCCCTGAAATTGGATTTACAAAAAGTTATTTAGCACCATGAGGGGGCTGGGAATTGAACCCGGGTCCTCAGCAAGGGCAACCAGTGTTCTTAAATGCTGAGCCGTCTCTCCAGTCCTGTGCATGCTTTTTGTCACCTTGAAGGAATCTGGAGTCAAGCTGTGAGAAACATGTCTCATAATTAACTGAAGGGAGATCTGCCCTCCATGTGGCAGCACCTGCTAGGAGATGGCCCAGATATAAATGCTCTGAGTAAAAACAACTCCTCTGATTTCACCTCATCTTGAGAACCTGCCTTTGCTGCTGCTGCCAGTGTTACTCCACATGGATGCACTGGATTCCACCTTCCAACATGGACAGAACGCTGGTCACTCTCCGGGGATTTTCTAGACCTCTAGCGCTGATTTTGGACAAAGCAGAATCACAAGTGCTCATACTGACACTGCATTGAGGGGCTCTGGGAACCTCGCCAGGCATGTCTGACTCTGTCCATGAGCTGAACCTTGGAGAATCTATGTTCAGTGGGGAGCACGGGGCACAAACGGGGAAAGACACACTTCAGACCCCAGATCCTGCGCAGAAACGGGTTTGATTCTGACACCTTTTTATTTTTACATTTTGACAAGGAGATTCCAAAATGACAGAATTTCCAATTTTATAACGAATGCTTATAAAGAAAATCAGACTGCTGTTGATGTTTTTAAGAGGATAATTTGGAGACAGAAAAGATTGATGGGGAGCTTCACAAGGAAAGTCTTCATGCTCGGTGATGTGATGATTCTGCCACAGAATCTGAGGACACTGGGAATATATTCTACTTGAAGGAGCAAACTGTGCATCATCCTTGAAGACAAACTATGCTTCTTTTTTCTTCTGTTAACCTGAAAGGTGTCGTTTGGGTCAGAGCTCCTCCCCTTTCGGATTATGTAAACGTCTGAATGTGTCCAAATAAATTCACTGCCATTTTCGAATTTTAAATAATCGTATTTTCAATTTACATATTGTATTTCTTAATATTATTACCAAGAATTAATTTTTCAGTGTAGTTTGTTGTTTAAAATAATGTAATCATCAAAATGAGTTTTTAATTTACATATTGTATTTCTTAATGTTATTACCAAGAATTTTATCAGCATTAATTTTTCAGTGTAGTTTGTTGTTTAAAATAATGTAATCATCAAAATGGTCCATGTTTTTATATTACTATTAACTAGGCTTCAATATATCAGTGTTAATTTCATTGTAGTAAATGTATAACTGTAAATAAAACGGCTGCAAACCTAAAAAACAGACCCAGTGAGTCTCCTATGGGAATGGGCCCCACTCCTTCCCCAGAGATCTTGAAGAAAGGTTTCAGATATTGATCCACACTGTCAGTATCTCCTAGGGGAAGGGCAGAGACTGACCCAAGTTCAAGAGGCAGAAGTTCACACTATGTACCTCAGAGCTGAAATATATTAAGATAGTGAGTCCTTAAGAAGGAACAGAAGCATACTGAGGTACAACGTTGTCTCAGACCCTTTAACAGTCACCCCCGTCTCTGAGGTCTCAAATCTGCTCTGAACACTGTCTTCCCAGGGTTCCAAGCAGAGCTTGCTATAGAGCAAGGAGATATGCAAATAAGACCTCCCTGTGCTCATGAAAACCAGCCCAGCCCTGAACTGGCAGCTCAGCAGAGGAGCCCAGCCCTGCAATCCCCGGGGTTCCCATTCAGTGATCAGCACTGAGCACAGCCTCACCATGGAGCCAGGACTCAGCTGGCTTTTCCTTGTTGTGCTTTTAAGAGGTAATTTATGTAGAACAAGAGATGCTGTGTGTGAGTGGACAGAAGTGAGGGGGTTAATGAGAATGTGTGACAGGTTCCTGACCAGGATTCTCTGTTTGCAGGCGTCCAGTGTGAGGAGAAGCTGCTGGAGTCTGGAGGAGGCTTGGTGCAGCCTGGGGGATCCCTGAGACTCTCCTGTGCAGCCTCTGGATTCACCTTCAGTAACTACTGGATGTACTGGTTCCGCCAGGCTCCAGGGAAAGGGCTGGAGTGGGTGGCAGAAATAAGTCATGATGGAAGTGGTAAATACTACCTAGACTCTGTGAAAGGCCGATTCACCATCTCCAGAGACAATTCCAAAAACACGGTGTCCCTGCAAATGAGCAGTCTGAGGTCTGAGGACACAGCCACGTATTACTGTGCAAGAGACACAGTGAGGGGACTTCAGTGTGAGCCTGGACACAAACCTCCCTGCGACAGCGCTCACGGCCAGCAGGGGGCGCCCGGGAAACATGGATCTCGGTCACCCCTGAGCAAGTGACTGGGCATAAAGCCTGGACTCTTCTGTTCAACCACTGCCTGTCTTATCACAGAGGAGTTTTCTCATAGAACTTGTCTAGAAGTATGGTGTTTCTAATATTTGAAGCATCCAAAAGTTTTTTAATTCCTGTTATCTGCTGGGATTTATATGTTTAAATACAGGATTCACTCTGACCTAAGAGCATCACAAGAAGTGACTCTGTAGAGGCCCCAGGATCAAATTCGGAGGATACTCAATGGCCATGAAGAGTGTCATGGGAAAAAGCTCAGGGGACGGGGGGCTGGTGTGTGTGGGGGGGGTTCTGTGTTACAGGAGTGTTTGGGATTCAGGATACAGAATTGAGAGACAGTGGGGAGGTTTCTGTGTTTTCCATCACTGCCAAAAACCACGTGATGAACTTCAGACAGCGGCTCTGGGATTGAGGCCAGTGATCAGAGTTTTAATTGTGCTGTTGTCAGTTTGTACCTCCACGCACACTGTCTCTAAACAATAATTTCCACCATCAGCCCAATTGTGTCATTCCTAACCTCTGTGCTATATGACAGAACAGAGTTCCCAATTCATAAGGAAAGGTTAAATACTGAGAGATTATCCTCCAGGAATTTATGGATTTCTCTCCTTCAGCAGAGACACTGAGAAGAGGACGCCCGGTCCTTATCCTCACTGTCATTTTCTCCTGTGGAAGAGCAGAGGCTGACCAGCAGGACGCTGTGCAGGAGACTGGAGCTCACACTGGGCTCCTCAGATCTGCAGAGCCCCACAGTCAGGATGATTTCCCACATGGAGGACCCACAGCTGTCCCACAGCAGTGAATGATTGATGCTCAGGTCTAACTGGGATCAGATGGGGACACGTGTTACCTGTCACAGCTGTCTGCACACGGTGCTCATGTCCTCAGAACACAGGGGAGGCTTGTTCACCCTTTCCTCACACTGCAATGTCATCATCAGGTGCTTGATAGAGGGACATGTTGCCACACAGAACTCCTAATAACCTTAGCTTTAATGGAGGAAAATCAA